ATCATAGAAAAGCCACCCGGCCCAGCAAAGGAAGCCACTCAGCCTGACTGGGGCTGAAGAGGATATGCTGCAGCTGGGGATCCAGGAGAGGCGATAGGGTAGAGAAGAGGATGTAGGTGTGGACACAAGGGAAGCAGAGCAGGCTGTAGGCAAGGCTGGATGGAGACAGGATAACTAGATTCACAACTGCTAATGCTTTAGGGGCACTTGGTTATTGCCAGGCACTGTTCAAAACCCTTAAACTGTTTTAAGACAAAGAGCAGAAACATCAACTAAGAAGCTGCCTTCAGAGCTAGTCTCCTCCTCCTCCTCCTCCTTCTCCTCCTCCTCCTCCTCCTCCTCCTCCTCCTCCTCTTCCTTCTTCTTTTGGTTTTGGTTTTTCAAGACAGGGTTTCTCTGTGCAGCCTTGGCCGTCCTGGACTTTGTAGACCAGGCTGGCCTTGAACTCACAGAGATCCACATGCCTCTGCCTCCTTGAGTGCTGGGATTACAGGCGTGCGCCACTGCGCCCAGCAGAGCTTGTATTCTTAATGACTATCCTGTGTGAAATACAGAAAGGAAAAAAAAATGTTTCAGATCCATAAAGGATTAGACCTCTGCTTAACCTCTATGTTAAATGCTATATCAGAAACAAACAGCAGCAACAACAAGAGCAAATGTTTTGGAACCACTCCCAAGCCTGTGTGATCTTAGCAGTTACTCAAACTTTTCAGATTTCTGTTTCCTTGTTCATTTGTAAATCTGAGCATAATACTGGCCCACCAGCATTGCTGAGAGTTAACTAAAGAAGCCCACCAAGAGTGCCTGTCCACGCCTCCTTTGACACCACTGGTTTCAGAGGCTCTCGAGATAATGTCCATTCCAGATCCGGATTTCCTCATCTTTCCAGGGGCTACAGGCTTGCTGGAACCGTAGGGTGTACACCCTGGTTTTTGATGCCACAGCCTCTGTTGAAGGTGCTTCAGGAAAGTAGACTCATTTAACTCACTCCACTATATCTGAGCAGACAGATAAGGGTGGAGGTGCTGGCCCTGGAAGGTAAGGTTGCAAGCAATCCGGATCTAGCTCATCACAGGCAGTTCACACTTCTTGGAATGGTCCCCTCCTCTCTCACCCATGAGGATGCCCCTTGCCAATCACTTACTGTTCGGTCTACAAAAGATGACTTGGCACCTACAGTTTTCCAGGTATTATGCCATGTTCTTAGGAGTAATCAGCCACCTGGAGGGGTCTACGAATTCTGTTTAACTTCCCATTTCATCAACCGTCTGGTGTGGAGGTATTGGACAAAGCATGCTCAGGAAAACTGCTCCTGGGGCAATAATGAAGGTGCTTTTAGAGAAAAGACAACAGCAAGGATCTCCGAGAGTGTCCAGAGGAGGTAGATATCCCATGGCTAGGAATCATAAACTTGAAGCAAGGCATCTCAAAAGTATCCCAAGTAGGAAAGCAGGGACTATGGGCAAAGCAGACCATGCCCACCCCATAAAGATGGCACTTACTACTTCCTATCAGTCTATCGCAGCAAACAGAATGTGAGCCAACAGTGGCAAATCTTTTGATTTTTACAAGAGAAATTGGAGCTTACTTTAAATCTCAAAAAAAAAAAAAATCAGCACTGGCTTCTAATTTTAGTCTTTTTTGAAAGTCCTGTGAAAACCAGCAATGCTTGCTTGCTGGGTTGTTCTCAGAGACTAAATTACCTCTGAGTAGATTTGAGAAAGGGTATAGAGAGGTGAAGGGCTGTGTCCAGGGGCAAAAGCTGAGGGATGTGAAAGGCCATGTTTCCTTGGGGCCAGGACTATGCTAGACCCACAGGAAACCACAAAAGAGGATGTGGAAGCCATAGACCTGAGTCAGGTGTTTATAGGACTCATTGTAGAGACCCAGTAGACGGCCGGGAAAGCAGAGGCAAGGAGCTATGTAGACTTCCCAGAACTCTGAGCTTTAGAAGATCTTTCCAGAAGTCAGGATTGACTCTGAGAGTAGCAATTCCAGAGGCAGACATTCTAGAGAGCTCCAGAATGGAAGGTGATACACTGAACAGAAGCTGGGTAAAGTGGGACAAGGACATGACCTCAGCATTCTGGAGCCTGGGGCAGGAAAAAGGTGAATTTGAGGCTAGCCTGGACTATAAAGAAAGTCTGAAGCCTGCCTGGGCCATATAGTGAGACCCTGTCTCAACAAATGAACAGATGAGTAGGCGCGACCTGTATGTGCCCAGAGAACTTGCTTGCAAGTTAAATAAAGTTAAATAATATATGTAAAAGGATGGAAGGGGGCTAGGGGTGGGTGGGAGATACAGCAAGGAAGGCCTTAGGTACCTTTCAAGGCAGACAAAGGCAGTGCTGTGGGCTGGGGCAAGGGACACAACTCCAGGTAAACGCTGAGCCCTGAGGTAGGGGTCAAGAGACATGTGAGTCCGTTGCTGTTAACTAGGGATAGGCACTTTTCCTCATCTTCCAATCAGCCACAGTAATTGTATCCCAAGTGGGGCTGTGGTGAAAACTGAGGAACCAACTCACTTTTCTCCACTTACATACGATGGCCCCTCCCAGGGTCCCACTAAGTAGCCCTGGCTAACATGGAACTCACTGTGTAAACCAGGCTGACTTCAAGGAGATTTACCTGCCTCTGCCTAGCAAGGGATGAGAATAGAGGCGGATGGTTTCCACCATGCTGGTCTCTCTACAGTTTGGCTTTTATGGCCTGAGAGCTCCAATCCCGAAAGGGCTGGGGTATCGGGGAAGCACTCTTGGTCTCCATGTTGGCATCTTTTTCAGTAGTTGCAACAGTAAGCAATGGTTGGCGGCTGGCAAGCCTGCCTGGCTCTATGAGGAGAAGGAAAGCGAGTCGCTTTTGCCTTCCTCAGCCTTTCCCGGATATGGTGGGCAGTAGTTAGGGTTAGCAGGATCGTTGAGGGCTCTGTGCCCCAGAAGGGACCCTTTCCACCCAATTCTTACCTGGGACAGGTAAGACCCAAAAGTTGAGGTGGTAAGAAAAGCGAGGGACACCCGAGTACCGCTGCACGAGCCGATCTTACTGTCCCATCAGTCTGTATTTCGGATCTCAGGCCAGGAGTTTCTTTTCCTCTAACGACCTAGAGTGCCTTAAAGCCTTAGGGCAGGGCGTGGCGTATTTTAGAAAACTTGAGTGGCCCCAAAGGCTGTCCATTCGTGTCCTACTCTCAGCCGGTCTCAGCTCTCTGCTTATGTTAAAAGGGGATACCCTTTATCGCCGGTGTCCTCATCTTTCCTGTTCCCCAAGGTCTGCCTTTAAAAAAAAAAAAAAAAAAAAAAAGAAAGAAAAAGAAAAGAAAAGAAATGCCGGCTCCTCTGCTAAGTCAGCTTGCGTCGCGGCGTCTTGTCAGAACGCCTGCACCTTTCCCAGACCCACACCCGGGAACAGACCCTGGCACCTGCCCCTCCCCAGCAGCCATTACACGACGTTCTCAGAAAGTTAGTTTTCAGTCTCCTCCTCCCTCTACCCACAACCCATCCGGGTGCCGGACTGGAAGCATCTTGAAAGTAGGAAGTCACTCTCCTGCTGGCCTCTGCCTTGGGACATTCTGTTCACTCCCAAGGGGATGGAGCGCAGTTGGGGGAGGGGGACGCGGACGGGGGCAGAAACCAAGCGGCGGACCCACAAGCCCAGCCCGAACCTTGGGATGGGGGCGGGGGTGGGGGAGGTTAGTACTTCGCCCTCTAGGGCAGGCGCCAGCCCAACCCAGCCCACCCGCCTCAGCTCCGACTCCCAAAGGCGTGCCCACCCGGCCAGGTGATCTCGAACCTTCTCTCTAACACACCCCAACAACAAACAACCCTCGGCGCTCTCCAGCCGGAGAAAGGAGGTGGAGCCTGACCTCAGCCGGAGGCTGCCGCAGCTCGGGGGGGGGGGGGGGGGGGG